TCCTGTTGCCTGTGAGTCCTCCTGTGCTCTAGGTTGTTTTGCCATATTTTGTGTTAATGACAGATTTTCAATGTTTTTTGCTGTTTCCAAAAATTAAGCATATTTTGTATGACTCATTCCTGGGTGGTGAGTATAGTAGTAGATGCTCAAATTTTACTGTATATATTGAAAGTCTTTAAAGCAAGGTTGTGTTTATCTGGAAAGTTGCTGATGTATGAGGGGTCTTCTGAAGTTCACGGAAATATTCATATTATCTTTTAATTCTGGTTTTCCATGAATTTTTTGAAGTGCCCTCATATATGTATGAGCTACATATAAATCAAAGTCTGTCATCACAGGGGTGTGCTTTTTAGAACAAATAATCACTGCTTGACGTATCCACCCCTGCCCCTGCCATGTTAATTTAATTGCCAGAATTTTGATGTTTCGCAGCAATGTGTTCCAGTGCCCTTAGGATAATAATAAAAGACTCTCCTGACTGTCATAATCCCAGCCCAGATGTATTTTGTTTAAATTCTTAACCTCTTAAAAATAATAGTGTTCCAAATTCTGCTTGGTCCTATGGTATAGAAATATGAGAGTTTGATAAAGTAACCAAAAATATGAGTGAGCTTGGCCAGATTGCCTCGAGGTGTCGTTTTCTACATTGTAACTCCTCAATTTTATAAGACATTTATGCATGTTAGTCTCCCACCCAAAGTTCTGTATCCTAAAAATTTTATATTAGAGTCAACACAATGCCAAATACATAGGAATTACTTAATAATCATTATGAACGGGTTTTAATGGAATTAAAAAATTTTCAACTAAGTGAAAGATTTACTAATTTGTGTATAATAAAGACAATACATTTTTCCCTTGGGAAGTAATTTATTATTCTGTTGAATTCATTTTAGCCACTTAGCATTTTAATTTAAAGGCATTTATATAGCCATCAAGTTTTTTTTTTAAGTAAACATTTATTTTGAGGTAATCGTAGATTCTTAGGCAGTTGTAAGAAATACTAGAGATATACTGTGAGCCCTTACCCACTTTCCCCCAAGGAGAACATCTTGCAAAACTGCGGTTCACCATCACAACCAGGATGTTGACGTGGATGCAGTCAGGGTGCAGAGCGTTTTTATCACCACACAGATCCTTCTTGTTGCCCTAGGAACCACACCCTCTTCCCTCCCACCCCCAGCCCCTCACTGACCCCTGGCAGCTGCCAGCCTGTTCTCCATTTCTGAACTTTAGACTTTTCAAGAGTGTTATATAAATGGAATCACGTAGCATGTGTAAACTTTCGGGATTCCCTTTTCTCTCTCAGCATAGTTTTCTGAGAGTCACCAGGCAGTTGTGCGTGTAAACGGCTCGTCCCTTCTCATTGCTGGGTGGTTCCCTGCACAGGACATTTAGCCACTTACCCCTTTGTTGAAGGACATCTGGGTTATTTCCTGTTTGTGGCTGCTTTGAATATAGCTGCTATAAACATTTGCGTACAGGCTTTTGTGTGAATGTAAATATTCATTTCTCTGGATAAGTGCCCAGGAGTACAACGACTGGGTTGTGTTGTGGCTGCATGTTTCGTTTCTGTTTTCCAGAATGGCTGTGTCGTTCTGCGTTCCCACCAGCGATGTGTGAGTGGTCCACGTTCACCTAGCCAGCATTTGGGATTTGTCACTATTTTTTATTTCGGCCAGTCTGACAGTTACGTGGTGATATCTCATTGTGGTTTAAATTCGTATTTCACTAATAGGTAATCATTTTGAACATATTTTCATATGCTTGTTGGCCATCCGTATATCCTCTTCAGCAAAATGTCTCTGTGTCTTTTACGCATTTTCTAATTTGAATTTTTTGCTTTTTTTGCTGTAGTTTTGAAAGTTCTTTACATACTCTAGACACTAGGTTTGTTTTTTGTCTTTTGTGGTGGGTGGCTGGTATGGTGATCCAAACCCTCATCCTTATAACACACTGTGCTCCAGCCAACTAAGTAACTGGCCAGCCCCAAGATACTAGTTTTTTATTAATGTGTGATTTGCAAATATTTTCTCTCACTCCACAATTTGTCTTTTCAGTGTCTTAACAGTCTTTTGCAGAGCAAATGTTTTAAATTTTGATAAAGTCCAGTTTATCAGTTTTTCCTTTTATGGGCCATTCTTTCGGTGTTAAGTCTGAGAATTCTTTGCCTAGCTCTAGATCCCAAAGACTTTATCCTCCTATGTTTTTGTTCCCTAAAAGTTTTATAGTTTTTGTTTTTTTTTTCCTTTTTGTCTTTTTTACTGACCGGTAACGGGATCGCAGCCCTCGGTGTTGCGCCCGTACCGGGGACCGGCAATGGGATCGCAACCCTTGGTGTTGTGCCCGCATCGCGCTCAACCGGTGAGCGGGAACCGGTCTCCACATGGGATCTGAACCCTCGGCGGGAGTGCCGCCGCACTCCCAAGCGGAGCACTCTCCAGTGCGCCACCGGGCCAGCCCTAAAAGTTTTATATTTAAGTCCCTGATCCATTTTGAGTTAATTTTTGTTTAAGATCCTTTTAGATTTTTTTTTTTTTTTTGCCTATGGATATCCCATTGTTCTAGTGCTATTTTTGTATTTTCTGTTCTGTTACATTGATCTGTGCGTCTATCCCTGTGCCAGTACCACACTGTCTTGATTATGGTAGGTTTATAAAAAGTTTTGAAATTAGGTAGACAGATTCCTTTGTCTTTATTCTTATTTTTCAAAATATTTTAGGTACTTTATTTCCTTTGGATTTTCATATAGATTTTAGGATAATCTAGTCTATATCTACAAAAAATTTGGCTTGGGTTTTGCTATGATTTGCATTAAACCTATATATCAACTTAGAAAGAACTGACATCCTTACTATGTTAAGTCTTCCAATCCATGAACACGGTGTGTTTTTCCATTTATTTAGATGTTTGGTTTCTTTGATCTGCGTTGTGTATAATTTGTCATGTATAAAAGTCCTATACATGTGTTGTTAGATTTATACCTAAGTATTTCCCTTTTATTGATTAATTGTAAATGGCATTGTATTTTTAATTTCAGTGTTCATTGTTAGTATATAGAAATAGAGTTGATTTTCATTATGTTTATCTTGTATACTGGAACCTTGCTGAACTCACCTATTAGTTCTATGAGATTTACCTTTTATTTCTAGCACCATTTATTTAATTTTCTATGTGCCAGGCATATGCTAAGGCTTTCCTTATACTTGCTCAAGCCAGTAAGTGGTGGATCTAGGATCCTCATAGGTAAATCACGTCTTCACTTTGTTCGTTTGGCACTTAGGACCACAGTGGATCCTGAAGTGGGTCCTGCCCTCCTGGAGCCTACAGTCTGAAACCAGAATTAGAAGTAATACAAGTTGTTAAATAGCTTTGATAAAGTTCAAACTAAAACAAGTTAATTACTTACAACTCATCCTGTAAGTGGGTGCAGCAAGGGCACGTGAGCCAGTCTAGAGTGAGGGGAGGGGAGGCCAGGGAGGGCTTCCTAAAGAAGCAATGATAATTTTCCAGGGAAGGTTTCCAAGCTTACTGATTTCTTTATGACCTTACATCAATTTTTGAAATTCAGAAATGTCTGTGATTAAAGCTTATATGCAGGTAATTCTAAACATTGCTTGTTAGAGAGCCCAGGAATTTCTGGTCAGAATTGAATGAGTCCTTTGCTTGTCTCAGTGTCCTTACCTCTGTCACCTGCTGCTGTAGAACCCCTGCTCCCTGCACCAGCGATTCCCACCTAGGCCAGAGGGCTCTGGAACCTCCAGCCCATGCAGCTCAGTCCAGCTACATGAGCTGACCCTCTGCCCTGCCCAGTACTGTGGGCTGCACCAACCTTCTGCAGACTTCAATGCCTTTACTTCTAGCTCACATTTCCTCCTCTCTTTCAGGGTTCTTTCCTTTCTTCTCCTGGTGAGCTGGGTTTTGGAGTCATTTAGGATGGAAAGGTTGTCCATTCCAGTAGTTGCAGGGTCAGGTCCCCTTTCTACCAGCCCATTTGGAAAAATCATCCATGTCTTGCAACAGTAACTACAATAAGATTCTGGTCAGTTGGGAACAAAAATCTTACTGTATCGAAATTTGCCCCTCAGACATTTCCAGGTAAAGACAGACCCCCATGCCCTTTGAGAAGACAGGGAATCTCCTGGCACTGCTTGTGAGCTTCCACCGATACTGGAGAAGAGGGTCTGTGCGGTCAGATGCTGGGCCTCGACCGTCCTCTACCAGGTTCTTGACTCTGCCACAGGACAGAGTTCAAGAGCAGAGGTGGAGTAGAAAGAAAAAACAGGTTTAATGCAAAGAGAAAGAAACATGCACTTCACAAAGTGTGCGGGCTGGCTTGACGGTGAGCAGTAACTACTGCCCCACCTTCTTCCTGGATTCAGCTTTTATAGTTTGCTGTTCTATACATGTTCATGATATATAATGAATATTTAACTAAAGGGGTGGTTCCCAGTTATGTAACCCAGCCTTGTGCTTGTTGTGTTGGTCTCTTTGGTGCATGCTCATTGATCAAATTCTAACATATACACTGAAAATTACTTCAAATACATTTGGTGCTCTCTAGTGCCTCCCATGGAAGGCCATTCAAGGATAAATTCCTTTCTACTGAGCATGCTTGGCCACTGAAGTTAAGTAAGTCTGCCTTCTGTGTCTCCCTGTGTTGGTGCCAAAAATAGGTGCAGGAAGCAACGGGGCAACTCAGGACTTAGAGGAGGGGCTTGAGTCCTAGGGGAGTGGTGTGAGACCCAGGGGAGTGGCCTGAAAGCCGAACCCAGTGAAACTGAGCACCTCTTGTCTCACCAGGGAGCTCGGCACCTCACATCTACCCATGTCAGTGGCATTGCTCTCCCCAAGTCACAGAAGTGAAGCGATGTCCTCAGCCAGCACTGTCCCCATCCTGCGCCTTCCTGCCCAGCCCTGTGGCAGTGTGCCTAGCAAGCCCCTGTCCTGCCTTAGGACTGAGGATGCTTCTCTCTCTTCCTGTGTTTCCCTGACTGTAGGAGAAATCGCTGGTCTTTGAGTCAGCATGGAAGAAGGAGAAGGACGTTGTTTCCAAGGAGATAGAAAAACTGCGTGTGTCCATCCAGACCCTGTGCAAGAGTGCGCTTCCCCTGGGGAAGATCATGGACTACATCCAGGAGGATGTGGATGCCATGCAGAATGAGCTGCAGCTGTGGCACAGCGAGAACAAGGAGCATGCTGAGGCCCTGCAGAAGGAGCGGAGGTGGGGGTCCCAGTGAAACTGAGCACCTCTTGTCTCACCAGGGAGCTCGGCACCTCACATCTACCCATGTCAGTGGCATTGCTCTCCCCAAGTCACAGAAGTGAAGCGATGTCCTCAGCCAGCACTGTCCCCATCCTGCGCCTTCCTGCCCAGCCCTGTGGCAGTGTGCCTAGCAAGCCCCTGTCCTGCCTTAGGACTGAGGATGCTTCTCTCTCTTCCTGTGTTTCCCTGACTGTAGGAGAAATCGCTGGTCTTTGAGTCAGCATGGAAGAAGGAGAAGGACGTTGTTTCCAAGGAGATAGAAAAACTGCGTGTGTCCATCCAGACCCTGTGCAAGAGTGCGCTTCCCCTGGGGAAGATCATGGACTACATCCAGGAGGATGTGGATGCCATGCAGAATGAGCTGCAGCTGTGGCACAGCGAGAACAAGGAGCATGCTGAGGCCCTGCAGAAGGAGCGGAGGTGGGGGTGGGGAGGGGGTGTATTGAGGGGTGGTGGGGCAGCAGTCTGGGAGGCGAAGGAGAAATCTCCCAAGAAATCGCTGCCTCTCAGCCCTCCCTTCTTACCTCCTCCCCAAAGGATAACTGGTATTTCTTCATTTGTTCTACAGCAAGCATTTTTTTGGTAGCGGTTAGAAAAGATTTAGAGTTCATGTTCGTACACAAAATAGATTTAAACATTAAAAAAATACAGAGAAATATGTCTTATCACAGTCCTCAAAATTTTTTAACTGTTCATAGTTTGAAAAACTTAAATTTTTACTCTAAAAGAAATGTTGGTAAACCCATTTAAAATTGTGACTGTGAAAGTAATATAATAGACACTAAAAAGTGAGGTTCATTTTAGGGAAGTGTTCTGTAATCAGTCTGGGAACCATATGGCTATATCAACCATCAAGTGTTTTTTTCAGAAAACATGATTTCACTCAGTGATACAGCTAGAAGTCAGTATAATAAAAAGCTCTATTATAATGAGGTTCTACTCTTTATTAGTCTGCTTATTCTTAAAAAGTCTCTTAAAATTTCAAATGTACAACATGAAGGAGGTTAGAAAATCACTAAGAACTTTTTGGTGCCTGTTCTCACATGATAATTGGTTAGCACTTCTTACATTTTGATTTAAGGTATTAAAGTGTCATCCCAGACATTTCTTCCTTACAAAACTTGCTTTTGCTTAATGGTAGGCTGGTTAGAAACTATTGCTCTTCTTTGTTTTATATTTTAGTTTGTGTTCATGTGCTTTAAAAGTCTGAAGGGAAAGATTAATTTTGACTTCGGCTTCCCCAAGTATATTCTAGACTTTTCCCAGTATATAGCCCAACAACTAAACTGTCTCCTGTCACTGTCTTGAGCAAGTGAGCCAGAGACGCCTCTGTCAAGAAGCCCCCCAGCCTCTTCCTGTAGTGTTTCCCTGTAAGGAAGGGCACTGTCCAGGCGGTGGTTCTCTTAGGGTCGACAGCAACTCTGCCTCTCGCCTCCTTGCTTGTCCCCAAAGGCTCTCTGTTACATACATGTATAATTTAAGGACTGCAAGCCCATCATCGAACAAATATTAGGCTCCTTTTAGTAAATGTCATGTTTGACTTCACTTCTGGTTGTGGCAAGGGTTGTGAAAACGAGAAGTAAGTTTTGCTCAGGTGCGCTTTGCACCTTTATGTCATTATTGTAGTGCATCTATATTCTACCCTTTTTCTTTGGATGAAGTGAGTGGTCTACTTTTGTTGTCTTTTGGTGTTTTATTTAAGAAGTAAATATAAAATGAGACAAGATATTTATGAGCCACTGATTTTATTTTCCATCAGTATCACAGACTGTGCTGTGGAACCCTTAAAGGCCGAGCTGGCTGAGCTGGAGCAGCTGATTAAAGACCAGCAAGACAAGATCTGTGCCGTGAAGGCCAATATCCTAAAGAATGAAGAAAAAATTCAGAAAATGGTGTATGGTATCAATTTGACTTCGAGAAGGTGAACATTCAAAAGTTTCAAAGATGAGAAGTCACCATCAGTTTAAAAATAAAAAGGAAGATAGAAAATTATTACTCCTTAAATTTCAGTTTGAGAAAATGAACAGTTTACAATGTTATTATCCAACTAATTTTCAGAGCTTTAAAACTTCAGGCACATTAAATATATAAAAAGACCACGTTTTCTTACCTCCCTCCAGCTGGAATCCTTGCTAGTTATAAATAGCTCTTCAAAATGCCTTTGTGAGTTTTTTTTGCAAGCCTGTTCCTTGTGTTTCTGCTGTAGCCTGTTAAATTCTGCACCAGAATCCCTGGCAGGTAAGTGGTGTCAGCATACCAAGGAAACAGTAGTCCTTTATTTTAGTTTTCAAGTCTAGTGAAAGGACTTCCATTGGTTAGCACTGAGTGAAGAATAGCTGTGTGCTTTTTGTCTTTTGTCTTTTTCCGTGTCCGGCAACGGATCGCAACCCTCAGTGTTGCCCCCGTACCGGACCGGGGACCGGCAACGGGACCACAACCCTCGGCGTTGCCCCCGCGCCTCGCTCAGCCAGTGAGCGGGAACCGGTCTGTAGGTCTGTATGTGGGATCCGAACCCTCGGGCGGGAGCGCCGCCGCGCTTCCCAAGCGGGGCACTTATCCAGTGTGCCACCGGGCCGGCCCGAGCTATGTGCTTTTTGATAGGCACTTTATATATAGAATGAGGCCAGAAAATGAATGAGCTATGGTTTTAGTTAATTTCCATTTGAAAAGGGTTTAATTTCAGCCTGTGTCCTTGTAAGGTTCATGTTGACTTTTTGTTATTGTTTTTGCTTCCTTGTAATTGCATATATTTCCTTATGTAATTTTCTGATTGGTCCTGGTCCCTGTTATGTTTTGCTTGTGTTTCTAGCCCTTAAAGTTCATAAATCTAAAAAAGGAGATTTCAGCATGGCCTTTATGGGCATTGCCTGGACATGGAATTGTCATAGGCTACGTCTTGTTTCTTCAACATTTGGTCCCTGTGTTTTTCCCACATAGAGTCAAGTGTAAGCTGCTCTGGAGTCCTCAAGACCCTCTTTAAGAAGGTCTTGCTCTACGAGGCTCTGGTGTCATTCCTTTCTTGCATAGGTATATGCTCCTAAGTACCTGAGAGACAGGTAGCTTAGGAAAAACCACCATAAGGAAGACTTAAAAGAATGTACTGATTTACAACATTTTTTTATGTTAACCATTTTTTGGAAATTGGTTTTTAAAGCAAAGGTTTTTTTAAAACATGATTTATATTTAGTTTTTCACATATATATATAAATATTGTGAATACCTTAATTAAAGTCTTAAGTTATTATATAAAGGATTTCACTGTTTGGAGACATAGGTCTTGAGGTCTGGGTCCTGATACTTTTATTTCTAGATTCTCTATGTAAACTAAGCAGTGCCATTTTAAGTGTGAGAATTGCCTCAGAAGGTTTTGTTTCTTTAAGGATTAGCACAAATGGCACAATTTGGTTTTTGTTCGTGTGATTTCCAAAATAAATCGTTTATTAAGGCAGTTGTATGATTTTCTAAGCTAGTAAGTTTAGGAGCAGATTATTAAGATCTGCCATTCTGAAACATTGGTCTTTTTCTCCTTTCTGTAGTGCACCATAAAATTTTGTTTGATCCAATTATACTAAATATATTTTTGGGAGAGGGGAGAGGGGTATTAGTTACCTAGTCCTTCATGTATTTATAATCTCTTTTCTACTGAATCGAATGACTTGGCCATAATCCTAAGTGGACCCTGTTTTGCTTCAGGTTAAGATGTCTGCCTTTTATGAATTTGTACATATGAACAGAATTTCGTGTTGCAAAAAAATTGAATACGTTGTATGTGAGTAAAATTTTGTATGAAGTAGTCTGTCAACTTGTATCATAAAATTTATTTTTCTTTTATACATAAATCATTAAAAGTAATCACATATTTTTTCTATAAGTGTATGGATTGTGCAATTCAGTTCACACATGAAAAGAACATAAGCATGTGTTTTTCTTATTTTCAAATGTGTGCATTTTGTTTTTCTTGCGAAGAAAGCTCAGGGAAATATATCCTTTCATTCATATTGTGACACTTACCAATTTTCTGTATGAATTGAAGTTTTATGAGAGAGACAAGAATTTCCCAGAAATGTTAAGATCATTTGTGAAATTTTAGAAGGTTTCTACATGTAATTATTACTGTATCTTACTGTAGACAAATTAGATCCTGATCTTATTTAATATTTTGAGGAAATGCACAAATGAGATTAATATTTTTCTCTACTTTGGTTTGTAAGTTTTCAAGGAGTACTGGAGTCATACTTTAGGAATTTGAATTTGAAAGTTGAGCTGACACTAATTTATATTCAAAGGAAATGTGTAAGATTTTGGAAAAAATAGTTCAGGACTAAAATTCAAGTCTTCTACTTATTCATACTTATTTTTGTTTTCAATAATCGACTTTTAAAAAAAATAGTGACTGATGGGGCTGGCTGGTTGGCTTAGCTGGTTGGAACACAGCCTTGTAACACCAAGGTCAAGGGTTTGGATCCCCTTACTAGCCAGCCCCCCAAAAATAAACAAACAAAATAGTGACTGAAATCTGTGAAGAAAGATGATGTCATTTAGTGACACGAAGTGCAGTTTAGGATTTTGGGTGGTGTGGAATTCTGTTAAATTATTGGCAAGTGACTGCTGTGGTCTGAATGTTCAGCTCCTCCAAAGCTCATGTGGAAGCTTGATCCCCATTGTGACGGTGTTAAGAGGTTGGGAAATCTGACTATGGTATTTGAAAGGTAGAGACTTTAGGAGCTGATTGGATCATGAGGACTATGCCCTCATGAATAGATTAATCCACTTATAGATCAGTGGGTTAATGGATTAATGGGTTATTATGGGAGGAGACTGGTGGCTTATAAGGTGAGCGAGAAGCATGTTAACAGTCTTGCTCACCTCTCACAGTGTGACACCCTGCGTTGCCACATAGAAGGCCCTCAGCAGATTTGCTTCCTCACCTTTGGACTTCCCAGCCTCCAAAAGTGTAAGAAATAAATTTTGTTTTCTTATACATTACCCAGTTTCAGGTATTCTGTTACAAGTACAGAAAAGTGACTAATGCAGTATCAATGAAATATCCTTGGACTTTTTTCTCAGCTGTCTTGAACTGACGAGTTTATCTCGTTGGTAGGTGTGCACATGAATTAGAGAAAAGATGGCCAGGACCATTACTCGCTTTTGAATAAACAGCTACTGTCAGACAGTGGTAGACTTAGCATGACCAGTTTTCTTGAGTGTCCACAAAATCTGCTGCAGAAGGAGGCCATGCACAAACAAGGTCATGTGCTCAGGCATGTCCGCATCAGGAAGAAATTTAATACACAGACCTGGATTCCCAGCTCTGGAATCTTCTATCCACATACAAGGGTGCAGACAGTAAATTCACCTTTTTCATAAGACTGTCTAAGGAGATCACTGTGGCCTTCACTGAGGGACTCCCCAGCAAAGTCTAATGTAGCAAAGCAGAAGTATGAAAAATGCACATTGAACACAAGCAGCTGACGGAGGAGAGGACGCTGTCACCAGGCTCCTGGGATGAGCTCTGTGCTGCATTCGGGCTCTGAGCTTAACTCTGTCCTCTGGTATACTTTATTAATAAAAAGGTTGTATAGATTTCTAAGAGCTGTTTTGGTAAGTATAGTTTATAGAAGTGTTACATTAGGGCAGAAGTAAAACCCCTAATCAGAATCCCTTTTTGCTTGTTATATGTATTTTCATGAAGGGAGATTGGTAAAGACTTTTTTTTTTAACTTAGCAAGAGAAATTTAAATGGCTTTTTAAACTATAAGACTTGTTTTTAATTCTTTGTTTAGAGCTGAGATCCAAATTGATTATCAGTTTCTTTAACCAAGCAAATTATTCTTTCTGGTAAGAATGTGTAATTCAAAAGAAAGTTAAAGTACGTACAGTACAAGGAGGCCATGCTCCAGTCACCCAGGGAGGAATCGCAGCCATGGAAACTGATGGGACGGAAGCGCGTTCCTGTTCACAGATGACGGGAGGGAGGCTCCCCAGCCGCTGGTGACATGTCACCTGCCGCCTGTGTTAGTCATGGATTATAAGTTCACTTCACACTTAACTTTACTATTTAAAGTTTCAGTTAAAGCTAACCTTTTACTGCAGATGATAACATCTAATGTAGGTGGGGGCTTACATCTCACCAGGCGCTGGTGTGAGCGCCGTCCTTGGGCTGCTTCCTGTCTCCTTCCAGCATGGGCGGCAGGTACTGTCGCCATCCCTCTCGGTTGGGTGGTCATGGTCCTTACTGGCTCAGACCAGTTGCACTTGTGCTTTTTCTGGACGCATGATGATTAATAGCCTCTCTCCCTGCTTCCAAAGTGCCCTGTTTTGGATGATAACCCGGGTGTTCCCTTTACCGATTTGAAACCCACACTGAATGGAGGCTTGTGGCTGTGAAGGGACACTGAGCAGGATGTGTCCATAGAGCCAGTGTGGGCACCATGGTCATCGCAGCTCCACCAAACTCCACTTGTTTTCCTGTGAGGGCATTAGACCAGGTCTGGGAGTGTTCAGATGCACCTAGACTTCAGGCATTTGACAGGTTTCGTGCTTCCATTTGGACACGAGGTGGAACGTGTCTTGGAATCGTCATTGGTTGAAGGACCTTACTATAAAGGCTTCCCTCTGTGACCTGCTGTTGTCCTGAAGGGGATTTTGGGTGGGCCTGTTCCCTTGGACATTCTTGTCAAGGATTTGAATTAGCTGTAGGAAGTAGGTTGATATAATCTGGCAAATGACGTGAATATGACTAGACAGGACAGATACATTGACACATTGTCTGAGGATATAAAAAGGTGAAACTACAAGCTGCTCATGAACTCAGCAAGTAGCAGTAGGAAGAAGCTTGAGGGTGCATGTGTCCACACTGGCACTGTGACAAGGACCAATAGAATCAGTAGTCGCAGTGACGCGAAAGGGTCCGCACTGAGAGGTCCCTTCCCTCTGTCCCTGTTTCTCCTTGCCCCTATGGGCAGCCATTTTTATTAGATTGTTGTGTAAGCAAATATGACTATTTTTATACCCCCACAACACACAGTATCACGAAAGACAGTGTACAGTGTGCAGTGTTCGGTACCTGCCTTTTCATGTACCTCCAGCTCCATGGAGCCCTCAGCCTGGCCGTCCCTGTCACCCTCACTCCTTTCCAGATGTGCACAGTTCCACCATGCGTGTGCCCTGGTTTATCCTGCCCAGCTCCCTGTTGCTCGACTTGGGTGGTTTCCAGTCTGCTGCCATTAAAAGCAATGCTGCAGTGGATAACTTGTTCGTGTGTTGTCTCTGACGTGTGGGACAGACACCCAGAGTGAGACTGCCCGCTTAATGCATAAAGGCATCATGATA